GATCAGTCATCTCAAACTGGTCACTTAGCGTACGCTTAGTCGAGACTAGGAGCGAGTTGTTGCTGCTTGCTATGATGAGATCATCCACGTACAGCACGGCAATGACCATATTACCGTCAACGCGCTTGATGTATACACAGTGATCGGACTCACACTTGCTGAAACTCATCTTTATCATAAATTCGTCAATAGTGTAATTTCACGTGCGTGGCGATTGCTTAAGACCATACAGCGAGCGCTTGAGCTTGCAGACGTGGCATTGCTTGTCTTCGCTGACATATCCTTCAGGCTGCTGTATATAAATTTCTTCATCCAGAACTCCATTCAAGAATGCAGTCTTAACATCCATCTGATGTATCGCCAAGCCGTACTTGGCAGCCATGCTCAATACAATGCGAATCGACGTAAACTTCGCCACTGGTGAAAATGTTTCCTCATAATCGACTCCAAACTTCTGTGAAAATCCCTTGGCCACAAGTCGCGCTTTGAACCGCTCAATGACTTCATCTTGGTTTTCCTTGACTCGAAAACCCCATCTGCAACCAATTGCTTTGCACCCCTTTGGCAGAGGCACGACATCCAAAGTCTTGTTCTTGCAGAGTGACTCTAGCTCCGGATCACATGCAGCTTTCCATTTGTCCGCGTCGCTGGATTTCATCGCCGAGTTGAACGTTGTCGGCATTTCTACCACTGAATACACGACGTGGGATGCTTCAAAGTCTTCTTCGCGAATTGTTGCGAGAGCCGACGTTTCCACAAGCGTTGAACGTCGGTATTTAGATATCTGACGCTTGGGCGGTGGAATTTCAGTTGCCTTCTCCAGTGACTGAGTACGGGTATGTCGTTTGCTTCCCAGCTTAAAGCCCGTCTCAATGTTTTGGTCGTCAGTGTGCTCTGCTTCCGAATTCATGTCATTGTCTGTCAAAATTTCTTCGTCATCATCTTGGTCATCATCTTGAATCGTGACATTTCTTTCGTAGCTCTTGTTCTCATCGTCAAAGCTGCCTTCTTTGAATTGTGCGTCCGCCTCATGATAATTTTACCAGTTGATATTTCCTCGAGCCGATACGTTTTTCTGATGCTCTGAATAGCCCGAAAATCGGCACAGCACAGCTTTCGCATCCAACTTCGAGCGTTTCTCTTTTGGAACATTTACAAACGCGTGGCAACCGAATACTTTTAGACTGACTAACAGCGGTTTCTTGGCTGTCCAAAGCTCGTAAGGTGACTTCTCGAGATTAATAGCACGCGATGGACACCGATTTCGGAGAAACATTGCCAAAAATTGCTTCTCCCCAGTAATGTTGAGAAAGACCAGTAGCTCCAACATGCAACGTGCGCACACCACAAGCGTCCGGTTCATACGCTCCGCAACCCCGTTGAGCTGGGGTGTGTGCGGTGGCGTATACTTGAGCACCATTTTTTTATTTAAGCAAATCTTGGCCATTCTTGCTGATGTATACTCACCACCGCTGTCACTGCGGAGTGATTTCACGCGTTTGTCGGTCTGCTTTTCTGCGAATGCTACGAAATTTGCGAACTTGTCCACCACTTCTGACTTATTCTTGATCAGATATACGACGCAATATCCGGAATTGTCGTCGATGAAAGTCACAAAATAACGCTTGCACAAACGTTGAAGACTTCATAGGACCGCACACATCGCTGTGTATGACTTGCTTGCTTGCCCGATCCGTTGACGTTGATTGAAAATGTACACGAATCTGCTTGTCTAGTGCACAACCGTCACAAATCTTTCACTTGTTTACGGACGTAATATCGATACCAGTAGTGAGTCTCTTCTTAATGATTGCGCTCAACCCGTCATGTCCAATTTGACCAAGACGAAGATACCACATATATGAGATATCCTTATTGATTGTCGTAGATTTGACTGCATTCGCTCCTCTTGAACAACCGGAGTCATGTGAATCCAAAACAGTCCTTTTCCTTCGCGTGCACCAATCTTCCACTTGACACCTTTCGTCTCAGCAAAACACCCTTCCTTGTCAAAAACAACAGGCCCAACGTCCTTAGTGAAGCGTCCAACTGAGAATGAATTTCTTGACAACTTGGGGATGTGCCGCAGATTTGTCAACACACCCTTCTTCACTCCGTGTGAAGTCTTCATTGACATGACGATGTCGCCGCTGCTGATAGCTTGTACGACGCCGTCGTTTGCCAGATGTACGTACAGGAGAAAAGGCCTTGTAGTTCCTCATGAACTTATTCGAGCTTGTCATATGCTGAGTCGCTCCCGAGTCGACCAGCCATACATCATTCGCCTTGACAGAGTCACTGCTACCGCCAATTGAGAAAAGATAGTTATTGGAGTCTTCAAACTGTGTGATGTTTGCTCGCTGCAATCGATATCGATCAGTATCATTCTGGACTCGCGAGGGACACTCCGCGATCCAGTGTCCTTGTTTCCCGCAATTATGGCACGCACCAGTTTTCTTCGCCGGTCGTCCTTTGCGCTTCGCATCCTTCATCATAAACGCTTGCTCAGGCGCTGCTCCATCACCGCCCTGCTCCTTGCGTTTTATGTCTTCGTGTAGAAGCCGTGATGTCACCACCTCCCACGTCAAAGTATCCGCACGCGATTCCAATGCTGTTATAAGAAATTGGTAGGTCTCACTAAGACTTTCAAGAAGTGTGATAACCAAGTCGTTCTTGCTTACTGGAGCACCCACAGCTTCGAGCTGCTCCGCTATCGTCTTGAGCTTGTTGATGTGTTCTAGAATATCATCACCTTCTTCCATCATAGTTGTAAAGAATCGTCGACGAAGAAAGAGCTTGTTGCCAAGGCCTCTCTTCTCGAAGTCCTTCCAGTCGCGACCATGCATCATGCGCACCACTTGACGATCGGACCAGCGGCAGTTGTGAGTCTTCCATTGCAAGACAGATCATCGCCAACGCTTTTCGAGATTTTCTTTTGTAGGTCGTCTGGTCCATCGCATTCCAACTTGATTTCCCCACTTGCAACTTCCAACAGGTCCCTCTCCTCCGGCACCATCTGCATCTTGAACTTCCAGTTGTGGAAGTTGGTGCCATCGAACTTGTTGATTCGGCTTAGCGTAGACGTATCCATGGTGACGAAGGCAGAGTCGGGAAAAGGAGAGGCAGAGTCAATGGGGTTTGGGCTCATCCCAAACCTATTGGATTTAGGTAGCTTAAGCACTGGATGGCAAAATACAAAGTGAATACATTC